TAAATATATTACTCCCACTGAACTGTGTATACACAATCTCCATTAAATTCATTTCAAAACTAAACGAGATGACGACTTGATGAAATTTGTGATAGCATTGACAGGAAGTCTGTTTAAGTACATAGATGAATTTCTTTAGTTTGCAACTCAGTTACTGTGCATCCCGGGATACAAATTTTTTTTGGTTACATCATATAAATTATTTAATCAATGGCACTATTGAGAAACATTGTCTTAACATCCATCTGATGTAACTCAAGATCAAAATATGTCACTAAAGACATTATAGTCCTGAAAGAGTTTTTGACAAAACCGAAGAGAAAGTCTCTTTATAATCGATGTCTTCTTTCTGTATAAAACCCTTAGCGACAAAACAAGACTTGTACCTCTCCACATTACCTTTTGAATCCCTTTTGTTTTTGAATATCTATTCGGAACCAATAAGTTTTGCATTTTGAGGTAATGGGACAAGATTCCAAATGTCATTGTCCTTCGTAGACTTTATCTCTTCATTCATGGCATCAATCTATTTTTGAGAGTTATAACTTTCTATAACTTGATGGAAGTTGATAGGATCATCTTCCACCGTACTAATGTCAAATTCATGTTCGTGAAAATACATAATATAATAATTTAGAATTGTACTTCTCTTCTCTCTAGTGTATCTCCTTAATGACATAAGGTTTTGAGGGTGTGAAGTTTGTGCCTCAGGAACAGTTTCCTAAACGGGAACATAGGATACTATGACATTGTCTTGATCTAGGATTACTTCTTGAATAATGCTGGGTATAAAAATTTAATCCTGATCGTTATCAAAAGCAACTGAGGGATTAAGAATATCGACCCATTCCTCTTTAGAGATAAGGTCTCGAACTCTTTTTTCCTTTGTAAACTCAACATTCTCAAAGAACTGAGCATTTTTCGTCTAAAAATTTATCTTAACGGTGGGATCATAATATTTGTAACCTCTGAATCGCTCAGAATAACCAACAAAATAGCAACTTACAGTCCTGAAATCTAGTTTCTTTCTTGTGACCTATAAGGTCTAGCCTCAGCTGGACATCCCCAAATATTCAAATGTTTCAAACTAGGCTTTTTGTCCGTCCAAAACTCATAAGGAGTTTTTATAGTTGCTATAGTTGGAACTCTGTTGAGTAAATATGTTGCGGTTTTTAATGCTTCTCCCCAGAGTGATTCAAGTAAGATAGAATGGCTAATTATACTACTCACCATATCTTTAAGTGTTTTGTTTCACCTTTCAACAGCACCATTCATGCTAGGAGAACTTGGCATGGTGTACTGTGGGACGATACCGCATTTCTCTAAGAAGCGAGCAAACGGTCCTGAATGCTGTTCACCTGAACCTTCAGATCTACCATAGTATTCACCACCACGGTCAGATCTAATAACCTTAATTCTTTTGTTGAGTTAGTTCTCAATTTTTGCTTTAAAACTCTTGAACACATTCAGGGACTGAGACTTCTCATGAATGAGATATACATAGTCATATCTGCAATAATCATTTTTGAACATTATGAAATATTGTTGACCATTCTAAAAAGCCGTAGGGAACGGTCCACAAATATCTGTATGAATGAGTTTTAATACGTATATAGCCATTTTGGCACCTAATATCTTAATATTTATTTGTTTTCATTTGATACAATGGATCCATTAGTCAAAATCTGTAAAATCAAGGGGATTTAGAATTCTATCTTACACAAGTATCTCAATTTTCTTTTGAGAGATGTGACCTAATCTCTTGTACCATAATGAAACGGAATTTTCCTTGGTTAATTTTCTCTTTACATCTCTTGTACCAACATGTAAGGATTCATTATAAAAAGTAATTATATTAGACAAATAAAGATTATCATGTGCTGATAAAGAACCAGAACTAACCAGATTTGAATTAAGAAAAATACTAAATTTTTCATTTCTAAATAATCATAAATAACCAAATTTGTCCAATACAGAAATAGAAATCACATTCTGTCTAAATGACAGTACAATAAAAGTCTTTTCTAAATCCAAATAAAATCCAATCTTTAACAACAATCTAAATTTTTCAATTGTTTCCACTTCGATTCGTTTGTCATCGCCCATATAAATGAATTTGGCACCATCACTTGACTTGTGGCAATGAAGTTTGCATAGACACACTGATGTAAGTTGTGGCACCAGAATCTATTCACTAGGTGTGTGTAGGTACAGAAGTTAAATTAATCTTAGAACAAACAAAATTAACAAGCATACATTTCTTTACGCGCCACTCATAATAGTTAGCACATTACTTCTTCCAGTATCCCGGAGCTTTACAGAAAAAATAAACATTTTTAGTCTGAACCTTCTGTTGCTTCTTCTGTTGTACTGAAACTACAACAGATTTACCTGTTTTCTTTTTTTTTGTTCTTCTTATCATTTGAAATCACTGTGAAATGAGCACCCTCTGTTCTCTCAGACTTGAGCCTTTCCTCCTCTTAAATACAATGTGAGATGAGCTCATTCAGATTTAATGATTTTTTCTGACAGTTGTATGTCACCTTAAAATGATTGAACTGTGGTAGAAGAGAAATCAAAACAAAATACGCAAGTATTTCTTCTGATAACTCTACTCTAATTGCCTTGAGCTTTTAATGCACATGTGACATCTCCATTATGTTTTCTGATGTTTTCATTTCTCTTATATTTCATTGAAACAAGAGTTAACAGAAGTGTACATGCTTCGACTTTATCACTTTTGGCGAAACGTTATTTTAGAAAATGAAGGAAATCT